ACACATATTAGACAATAAATAATAAGCTGGGCGCCGGTGGCTCACGCCTGTCATCCTAGCTACTCAGGAGGCTGAGATCCGAGGATCAGGGTTCGAAGCCAACCAGGGCAGAAAAGAGACTAAGACTCTTATCAATTCAAATACCACCACAAAACCAGAAGTAGCACTGTGGCTTAAAGTGATAGAGCACTAGCTTTGAGTGAAAGAGCTCAGGGACTGCGTCCAGGCCCTGAGTTCAAGCCCCACGACCAAAAATTAAATAAATTCCTTCTCTCAACTCAAAACCATCACTTAGCAGATTCACAAGGATATATTTGTTTGCTTAAGCTTTAGGAGAACTTCAGGCGTAGAACATACATTCAAATAAACACAGATTCTCACCAAACTGCTTCCACTTTACATCTTATTGTTAAAAAAAAATTAAGTATTCTTTTGGGCATTTTGCCAGTTCTAACAACATAAAAATCTTGAAGAGTTTCCTTCGCTGATCTTGCCGTTAAAAACAAAAGTAATGATGAAAACAGTTTAGATTATTAATTGCATTTTAATCTTATTGGTAGGAATGTATCTTTGAACCAATAAAGGTTCTAACTTTCGTTTTCAAAAGACACATGGTAATTGTTTTAAAATAGAGATTTTAAAATGGGTTGATTGTGTTTACACTTTCTTTTGCTGGGGTAATTTTAATATTTTCAATTAAATATTTTAATTAGCTGCTCTCAAATTACCTTTGCCAATGACACAGTTGTCTATAAGAACTGGAGACCTGCAGACACTGTCTTAAAATTCAATTAATTTAAAATACATTGGAATAAATTATGGGGGACTTTTTTTCCAGGACAGTTCTTTTAGAAGGCTGAAAAGAAAAAGAGATAAACAATTAAAAGATTGTTTCTCCACCGTCAGTGTAATTGCAAGGTTTATCTATAATTATCACGAAATCCTGCATGTGTCATAGAGAATATGAGCAAGATGGATATATAAATGGATTTTTAAAATCACCCATACACTTTTCATAAGTTAACTGAACCACAGCAATGCGGTTTAGCCCCTAGGAATTGACTTACCTTTCCTTCTCCATGCTAGATTCCTTCTTCCCTCTCAACTTCTGCCTTCTGTGGTCCTAGGGACCAGGGAAACTCTAGACTGCAAACTAGTCTCCATTGACTCATAATGTGTGAGCCCCTAAGCAAAGTGTAATGTACCTCTGGTGCGCCCCTGAGCTTGAGATCAGTGGCACCATGCTGTCCTGTGTTATGTTTGTCCGATGGTCACCAACCCTTTGCCTTCTCTCACTTAACACCATGTTCTCGAGACTCGCTGAGACTGAAATACACAGAGCTCTACCCCTCTCAGCTTCCCAACACATAAACGCTACACCCCACGCCCACACATGACACCCCCCACAGAACATTTCACACACACCACACCACCACCCTACCATAACCCACACAGCGACTGCACACTCAAGCCACACAGACATCACACATCACACGCAATACACACACACACACACACACACACACACACACACAAGCAAACAGTGCCCACATTCCCACTCACAAACCCAGTCTTGCCATTGCCAGGAAGTTGAAGACTCAATTCTTATCACTTCTTTAGAATACTTCGGCTCATCAGAAATGCAACTTCAGCGCAGCCGTAAGGAAACACAGAGGGTTGAGGGAATGCACTGTGATGGTATGGCACGTGAGAAAGCAATCATCACCTAGCGTGGCATCCTTAAAAACATGTAGACAAAGATTCAAGACTAGTATCCGAACAAGAAAAGAGTCAAGAAGGCATAGAAAAAGATTTTCTTCCCTTGGTCCGACATGATTATCAATGCCCCTAGAGTGCTCGGCAACCATGTGATCCCCAAAACAATTCTAAATAGAAAAGTGGGGTCCCCTGGCCAGAGGATATGGGAACAGACGCACCTCAGGTCCCTGCAGGAAACAAGGAAAAGAAAAGCCTAGGATGGGGGGATGGGAGTCAAGGATTCGAAAATGGGTCCCCAGGAGTCACAGAGAAAGATCAATGTGCTGGAGAACCAATGAAGACAGAGACCTTCTGACAGAAGTCAGAACTGACCTAAGTATGACTGACATTCATCCCAGACTCATGACCCATGCTGGCTGCTCATTTGTGGTGGCAGAGCAGGCACAGGCCAAAGCCTTGCCCCCCCCCCAACTGCTATCAGGCCCCAGGTTTGTGCCCTACGGAACAAAACATAGTGCTGGCATTGTTCTTGCTCGGGCCACCATTGGTCACATTTTTGGGCCTGGAAATGGAAGGATTCACTGACGGTTCATCAAAATGTGGATGGTGCGTGCCCCCTAATCTCAAACACTTTGGGAGGCTGAGGTAAAAGAGGATACTGAGTTCAAGACCAGCCTGGGCTGTGTAACGAGATGCAGCTCAGTGGGAGGATCTCAGCAAGGCCTGGAAAGACAATAGCTTTGATTTCAGCATGGAGGGAAAAGGAAACAAAGCAGTAACAAATGAACAGAGAGCCTGATTTTTCTCTCAGCACAGAAGGCTGCGGCTGTCAGTCTTTAAGATCACCTTCCCCTTGTTCACCCTAGTTAGGACCCTAGTTAGCTGTATACTACGCTGTGGTAAGCAGGAGAGGTTGAGAACAAGATGAATGAGAAATATCTGTGTTCACCATGGGAGTGATGCACAGAATTCAGGGTCTGGGATGAGGGAGAATCGCAGTAGAACTGCTTGCTGGGGAAGATTCCAGAAACGACCCCAAACAGAGAAAGCTATTTCAGAAATGTATATGGGGCTGGAGGTGTGGCCCCTCCCACTTTTGATTTTCAAGGCATGATCAGGAATCTTTGAACTCCAAAGGTCTCATCAAAGTTCCACATTAAAAATGGATACCCAAGTCAGGGGGTGGGGATCTGGGGGGAGGGTTGGTGCACCAATGGCTCCTGCCTACAAATCCAGCTCCTGAGGAGGCTGACATAGGAGGATCACAGTTGTGAGCCACGCCTGCGCAAGCAAAGTTGGTGCGACTCGTATCTGTTATTAGCCACCCAAAAGCTGGACGTGGAGTTACGTCTCAAGTGGCAGAACACTAACCTTGTGTGAAACAAGCTAGGCCCGCAGTTCAAACCTCAGGACCACTACCCATTTATTAATTAACTTTAAGAAACGGATGACCAGAGAGGATGGTGCTCCAATTTTACTTTGGGAATCCTTAAAAGAAAAACTGGAGAGAGTTAAAGATCTCATGCTGTGACTCATCAATCCACCAGTGACAACAGCTCACAAACTGGGGATGTTGATAAGTAATAAAAGTTGGAAAATGATGGGCGTGACGGTGACAAATATGAAATGAAAGAGGAAGGGGAGGGGGAGGGGAAGCCCCCATGGGTGTAGAGAAACAAGTCACCAAGGAATCAGGAAGGCTTCCTGGACCATGAACACTGGGGCTGGGAAATTAGGAGGGTGGGGTTGGGACAAAAGCTGGGAGTGGCAGATTCTTCTCTCTTTCTTTTCTTTTTTTAAAAAAATAATATATATATATTTTTTTATTGTAAAGATGCTGTACAGAGGGGTTACAGTTACATGAGTAAGGTAATGAGTCCATTTCCTATCGAGCATTGTTACCCCCTTCTTCCCCCCCCTACCATCCCTTCCCTCTCCACCTCCCCAACTCCTCCCTACCCCCCAGAGGTGTAAAGTTCGTTTTGAACATAGTGTCTTGTACATCTCAGTGTTACAATGGGTCATCCTGAATCCTTATTTCAGCATTTTGTTTTTTCCCTTCCCCAAATTAGAAAAATGTATATACAAGATGCAGGGCACCGGCATCAAATACAGTGACAACAGGGGTTTCTTTTTTCTTTGGAGAGATGTTACTTATACATTCACGATGTTCCGTAGAAGAACTGTCAGATAAACACACACACACACACACACATATATATATATATATATATTCAAATAAGCACATATATATTCAGATAAGCACATATATATTCAGATAAGCACATATATATGTATATACATATATACACATATATATGACAGTTCTACAGTACATCTCTATATATGGAATATATATATATCTGTATATATACATACATGTGGGAGGCAAGGGAATATTATGCAGGCATGATAAAGAATTCACTACTACCACGTCTTTGCAGCCACGCGGGTGGGCGGTCGGTGCAGTTTTGAGTCAAGCCTGACTCATGACCTTCGGTGAGAGGAAGTAACCCCAGGTCCAAGCCTGTTCCCAGATTCGAGGGAGGGGCGGAGGGGTGCGGGCTCCCCCCTCCAGACCATGGTGGGGGTCTCGGGAACCTGGTGGAAGTTCTGAGGCGGCCCGGCCTCCCGGTTTCACGGGGATTGTGGACGTCCCGGTTCCAGGGCTTTCGTTTCCTTTCCAGCATTGGAGATGCGATCATAAACAATTCACGTTCCAGCGCTGACACTGGAAGCCACGCCCCCTCCCGTCACCATGGGAACGGCGGCCACGCGGTGAGCCGGAGGCGCCGGGCTCGGCCCCCACCCCCCGCCCGGACAGATTGTTTCCCCATCATCTGTCCACATGGGCGCACCGCATCACTATTGGTCGGCGCCCGCGGACGGTGCCTTGCCCTGGCCAATCAACCGCGTGTGCACGTGCATTCCCGCCGCTTCTGATTGGTCAGACCCTGCTGATCACGCTCTGTCCTCCTGCTCCCGGCCCGTGAGCAATTCCACCAATAAAATGACTCACTGGGTATTTTCCACCAATCAGCATGCGGCAGCTCTCAGGATTGACCAATGGGCGTGCGCCGGAGGAGGGCTATCCCGGCCCCGCTCCCATCTCTGTCAGGTTTGTTAAAGCGACAGGCTCCGCGGCCGCGCTGGTGTTTCACCGGTCACACCGTGGCCGCGGCGGCCCTCGGCGCCCGTGACAGCGGCGCCGCGGTGTTCACGACCCGGGCTCTGGGCCACTGCCGGGCTCCGCGGTCCCTTCCCTGCCCCCCGGCGGCGGGATGGGCGGCGAGGCGGGGTCCACGGCGGCCGCGGGTCTCGAGGGCCGCGTGAAGAGCCTGGGTCTTGTGTTCGAGGACGAGCGCAAGGGCTGCTACGCCGGCGGCGAGACGGTGGCCGGGCTCGTGCTGCTGGAGGCGGCGGAGCCGGTGGCCGTCCGCGCGCTGCGCCTGGAGGCCCGGGGCCGAGCCACCGCCGCCTGGGGCCCGGGCTCCGCCGTCGGCGCAATCCCGGCCGCCGCCTCGGAGGTGGAGTACCTGGACGTGCGCCTGAGCCTGCGCGAGCCCCCGGCGGGTGAGCCCCGGAGGGGGGCGGGGGCAGGGGAGGAGGAGGGATGCCCGACCTGGCAGGCAGGCCTGGGGAGGCTTCAGGAGCTGCGACCCCCCCCATGGGGTCTTGATCCAGGGCCTCAGGGCCTCAGGTGGGCCTAGGAGGTGCAACTCCCCCATGGGGTCTTGATCCAGGGTCTCAGGATCTCAGGTGGGCCTGGGAGGTGCAACTCCCCCCATGGGGTCTTGATCCAGGGTCTCAGGTGGGCCTGGGAGGTGCAACTCCCCCCATGGGGTCTTGATCCAGGGTCTCTGGGTCTCAGGTGGGCCTGGGAGGTGCAACTCCCCCCATGGGGTCTTGATCCAGGGTCTCTGGGTCTCAGGTGGGCCTGGGAGCTGCGACCCCCTCATGGGGTCTTGATCCAGGGTCTCAGGTGGGCCTGGGGAGGTCTGACCTGGAAGTACAATCTCCTCCAACCCCCCAGGGTCAGAGATTCCCCAGTGACAAAACTCACACTTGCAGATAATGGAGAAGAACCGAGGTGGAGGAGGCCAGGGCTTCTTCACCTGGGAGTCTTGACCTTGGTTGGGCTTGCTGAGGGCTCAGGGACCACCCCCCCACACACACACACACCAAGGGAAATGGGCTGTTGCCACGGTAACCAGTGATTAGACCCCCAGCTGCCCAGCCTCCTTTCCCATCCTGGAATCCACAGAAGGCTTTCTTAGTGGATGATGCCTTCGCAGCCACTCAGGTCTTGGGTAGAGGAAGTGAGCGCCATGGTCATTGAAAGGAACTGTTTCTAGAAAGGCCATCACACTTGGCTTCCTCTCTCTGGAGAGCTCGCTGGTCTGCCTCTCCCTCATGTTATCTGTCCTTTTGCATCTCTTCCTCCTGCCCAAAAAAAAAAAAAAATGGCCTTTGAAGATAATGGCATCAGGATGACCCCTTCTGTTCACCCTTGTCAAATGCAAAGGAAGAGCAGGCTTTTCTAGAAGGATCCCTGTGAGTGTCCTACTCCTTCCAGGCACAAAAATTCCCTTCGTCATGCAAATACCAACAACCATGAGTGACTTAGAATGATTTTTTTTCAAGGGAAATGCTTCAAACTGCTACCTTTCTAACACCTGAGCTGTCAAATACATTCCTTTGAAGAGCAGAGTGCACCGTGTCTGTATGCTTCACCTTTGCTGTTTTATACAAACTAGGAACACATCTTTGTCTTAATTGCTGTTATGGAGGAGATTTTCAGAGTTAAATCCTTAAAGTATGTATGTCTGTCATCTGAGTAATCTCAAAGCCATAGTGAAGGAAACTCTCTTTGGACCCGCAGCTGTCTTTTGACTTGAGCACAGGTACTAAGTGAAGTTGTTACCTGCCTTCCCAGTCTGGTCATCCCTGTGGTTTTCAGGATTCCCCCGGCTCCTTTCCCACAGTGGTAAGAGCCAAGGTGCTTTCAAGATGGCTGACTAATGAGAAGGACCACAGCAAAGAAGTAAATTGGTTTTTATCCAAGACTTTAGACTCTCTGAGCCCTTAACTGCTAAGTAAATAAGCATAAAATTAAATGCAGGGGAACCTATGATTAAAATTGCTTTGGTACAATCTGGGCTAACAGGTCGCTTTCTGATTAGCAAGTCAGATCTTGTGTTGGGTTGTTTTTGTTTTCATTTGAATGGAGGAGTATTTAAACCTAGACAAACTGAAAAATCTGCTTGGTGTAGAATGTATTGTGATAAATATTTGTAATGGTACTCTTTTATTTAAACCAGAATCACTCTTAGCTGAGGGACAGATAATCACCCCTCATATCTACAACTTGTAAGAAGTTAGCAACATAACATAGGCTTGGGTTTTCAGGGTCATTTAATGGCTGTCTAAATCACTAGAAAAAAATTTTAATTCAGGTTTCTAAAGTCAGGTGCTGGTGGATCACACCTATAATCCTAGCTACTCAGAAGGCTGAGATAGGAGAATCTTTGTTCAAAGCCAGTCCAGGCAGGAAAGTATATGAGACTTTTAGTCTCCAATTAGCCACCAAAAAGCTGGAAGTAGAACTCTGGCTCAAGTGGTAGGTGCTGGCTTTGAGCAGATATGCTCACAGACAGCACCAGGCCCTGAGTTCAAGTCCCAGGACTGGCTCACATACACACCACACACACACACACACACACACACACACACACACACACACACACACACACATACACACACTAGATTTCTAGGAATTGTGATCCTAGGATCTGTTTTCAAAAAACTCTCCCGAGATAATTCCTTGAATTATTCATCAAATCCAAGGCCTTGCTGCTGTTGTGTCTGAAATTTGTGGTTTTTATTGAGGAATTTTGATAGAAAGACAGGAAGACAAAACTAGAGACTCTGTCCAGTTCGTAGGTGCCCAAGGAAGTGTGACCTTGTACAAGCCCCTTACACTTCGAGAACACAGTTTAGTTTTGAGCCTCTATCTTCTAGATCCCATCATCCTGAAGCCTTTAATTATGAGCTCTGACTATAAGATGAGGAATGGAGTAGCTCTGTAGTCCTCAGACTACATGAGAGGGGAATCAGAAACAAGCATGGAGTTCTAGTGCCTATTCATTAAAAATAACAAGACGCCCTGAACACCAGCAGCACACACCTGTCATCCTAGATACTCAGGAGGCTGAGATCTAAGGTTCATAGTCCCAAGCCAATCCAGACAGACAAATCTGAGAGACTCTCTGTCTCCCATGAGCCACCAACAAAACTGAACGTGGTGGTGTGGCTTAAGCGGTAAAGCACCAGCTTTGAACAAAATGCTGAAGAGACAGCTCCCAGGCCCTGAATTCAGGTCCAGGACTGGCACAAAACAAATAGTAATTTAAAAAGGGAGAAACAAACAAAAAAAAAGTTTCTAGTACTATAACCAGTAGTTCCTCATTTTCTTAATTTGGTTTTGCTGGGTTTCGGAAAGGTGGCTAAAAGTCTCATCTTCAGTGAGGTCGTTACTGTGCTGAGTGCTTTTCTCAATGGCGGCACATCTTCCCCTTTCCCTTTCTCCCTCCCACAGTTCTGCTGTCTGCTCACCTGCTGTGCATCCTCATCTGCGCCCTGCTCCATTCCCCTTCTCAGGTCCTCAGGGCGCCAGGCCCAACCATGTTCACTGGTGTGTGTGTGGGGGGGGGGGGTGCTCTGCCCTCTAGCACTGCACAGCTTTTCCTTAGTACCACTGGATAGTCTCCGTTTCCCCCTGCTGGCCTGTGTGAAGGTTGTAGTTATTTGTCTCTCGATCAGCAAGGCCTGAAATCTAAGCCCCCTAAAAGTTGAACTGGGATAAAACCCACATGGGCAGACGTTTCTGAGTACTTTGTCGTGCTCTGTCATCGGGTAATTACAGGTAACCCCACACACACCCATGACTGGGAGCCGCCTCGTTCACAGAGTGATAGAAAGCAGAGCAGGCGCAGCGTCCGTGCTGGGCTTGGAAGAGCGGCCTCTGCGCACGCCTGCCCGCAGCCCTTCTCCCTGTCCTTCCAGGTGACCTCATGTCCCAGGGCTCCCACGGCCTTTGGTCAGCCAAGTGCGACCTGTTGCCATGCAGAGGGACTTTGCGCTTGCCTGCTGCGCCGCACGCTGGTAGTGGCAGGTGGACCTGGCCGGGTTCCTGTGTCCCTGTCTGATAAAAGAACAAGGAGAAAACAGCAGGTGTAAGGCCCCACATCGCTAGCCACTCAAATCCCACGTCACCGGTGATTTCAGCCCCCCAGAAAATACTGACATGAATGTGTACAGGAGAGAGAGAGAGAAAAAAGAAAGGTGTTCATTTCAGTGTCAGGTGAGCGAAGCAGATCTCAAAGCTTGCTGGCTGTGCCATCTTTTCTCCAGGGTGACCCACGCACATTCGGTGAGGAAGTCTGGTGTTTCCTCTGCACGTGAAATGCACGCGCCTTTACAGGTCTCGCCGCACAGTCCCCTTCCCAGCTCCGGAAGCCATGGAGTCCGCTTCTGGGTCTGAGTCCAGCAGGCTGCGTGTGCGGACGTGGGCTCCCGTGGAGCCCGTGTTTACCCACTGCCCACCCACATCCTGGGTTCTCAGCCTTTCCCAGTCAGGGCCCAGGCAGGAAGAGAAATCCCACGTTCCTCCCCACACCCCCCACAGAAAACCCAACTCTGTCTTCCCTGGGGGGGGCGGGGCGGGGAGCTACAAGGTAGATGCTTACCTCTCGTCTTGTTGTCTTGGATATCTGCTATCGCAGACGCTACTTACAATAAGAGTATTATTCATAAATCTCTACCCACAGAATACATAGTGGTAAGCCAGGTAGAGGTGGCTCATGCCTGTGGTCCCAGCCATTCAGGAGGCTGAGGTCTGAGGATCATGGTTCAGAGCCAGCCTGGGCAGGGAAGTCCCTGAGACTCTTATCTCCAATGAACCACCAGCACACCGGAAGTGGCGCTGTGGATCAAAGTGGTAGAGTACTAGCCTTGAGCAAAAGAAGCTCCTGGACATTTCCCAGGCTGTGAGTTCAAGTGTGTAGTGATGTACCCAAAATAAATCTAACCTTTGCTAATTAGTTTTAGGTCCAGTTACTATTTCATGTGAGTAGAATAGCATAACATCTGTGTACCTGTGTAGATATATAGACAGACAGATGTATGTGATGTATTCACGTGGTCTGAGCATGTCTGTTGAGTAGTTAGAGTTTAGTCATCACTTGTGTAATTAGTCTTTGAGAATGGACGTGTGTGTACACAATGCATGTTTCTACGGATGCATACATCTGTGCATACCTGTGTGTTCCTTGGCAAACCAGATTCAAATCTATTTCTCTAAATCTGTTTATGAATGTGCAGATTATAAACAGCTAATCACCTTTAAAAAATACAATTCAAGTTGCCCAAACCCTTGTAAAATAAATAAAAAATGAGAATAAAATGCTGTCTCTCTTGTAGGTGAAGGCATCATTTTATTACAACCTGGGAAACATGAATTTCCATTTCGCTTCCAGCTTCCATCTGAGTAAGTGGCTCTGTAGAATCCCGCCCTTCCCTGCCCTTGTGTGGTCCAGCCCAGGTCTTTTGATCCAGAAGTCTGCTTGCTTAGCCCGAGTCCGCCCGCCCTCCCTCCCTTCCACTGCCCCATTACTCTTGCGTTTCTCAACCCAAGCTAACTCTTGGAAGTGGGCATTCCTTGGCACTGGTAAACTGGAAGAGAAACTCACAAGTGAATGTCTGTGGTTTCTTCCAGATCATTGGTCACGTCGTTTACTGGGAAGTACGGGAGTATCCGGTACTGCGTGACTGCAGTCTTGGAAAGACCCCGGGTGCCAGACCAGAGCGTGAGGCGCGAGCTCCACGTTGTCAGTCACGTTAACGTCAACACGCCAGCTTTGTTGGTAAGTTCTTCCCTTTTTCCTCCCTTCTTTTCTCTTTTCCTTTGAATAGTTGGTAATCTCCGTGGACCAGTTGCGTGGTCCTCCGTCCTTTGTCACTTTCCAATGGCTTAGAAAAATAAATTGGTGAAAGAATGCCATACAGGTATTCACCATAAATATACGAGTCTAGGTTAAGCAAATTACAAATCTGTGTGTGTTAATACTATTGATTATGTCCCTGCTGTTCAAGGCTTTCTTTTGCCAAAAAGTTAACCCAGGCTTGAAATGCATTAATAAGGCATAATAACAATAATGTACCCACCAAGAATCCTTCCCCCATTCATGGCACTGTGGTGTTCTCAACTCCTCAATAATAGCAGGTTGAGGGACCGTAATTATGGAAGAGTATTAATGGCGCTCCGCCTGCTATTGAAGCCCAGGCCATTATGTGCCTGGTCTCTCCAACGCGCGTGTCATTTTCTAGCATTAAGTGAGCGCGCGCAGCTGTGGAGCCCAGCCCAGAACTACTCTCGCTTAGCATTGCCTTATGACAGATTGGGTCACATGAAAGCACTGAACTTGTAATCACCACCCGCAATACGGTAGGCCCATATGAAAGATCAGCCTACACATAACTGCAGAGCAGGCAGCAGGGGAGCCCATGAGCTGGATTCTTTTATCTAAACCCAATTTATCAAGATAATATAAAATTATACCTTGTATTTCACCATCCTTAGTGGCTCAGACCCAAGGGTTCTTCATTTAAATATGAATGAGTTGGCGTTTGTTGTGTTGTTTTGTTTCGTTTTTACTTCAGAGAAAACATTGAGATAATTTCAACTTTCCGACATGATATGCTGTGACAAAGATGTGTTTTAGTGTCAGATGTTTCTTTTTTCTTACTGGTGTTTTAAAGACAAGGAAAATGCTCTCTGTGAACAGTTGTTTAATCCTTATTGTCTCAAGCAAAAAAAAAATTAGTTCACCTTTGGATAAAAGATAACCAGTACACCATGGATGTATGGTCTCTTGTGCTAAAATCAGCACAGAGACATCACCAGCCTTTAACCAGGACCACAGCACCCTCTCAGAGTCCCCTATGAAAACTTGAAGGTTAGAGATGTGTAGTCTTCATGCTTGTTAGGCAAAATTACTTAAGTACCCTATCCCCAGAGAAATCCATGTGTATTCTTTACGAAATTCTTTCTATAAATAAAGAAACGGAGATGACAAGAAAGTGGTTTCATGGCAAGTTTGTGGTGTACGATATGTGTGAACGGAGGATCTTAAATCTCAGGACATTTCCTTGAATACTAGGAATGGAACCGGCTCCCAATCGTGGGGTTCCATGTGTTCATAGCCTTTTCACAGCTTCTAACTTGCTTTGTGACACTAAATGTAGAGATTTCTGCCTGATGATACCTTTGGAAGAAATGAGGGAAAAAGCTGTTTGCTTAGTCCACATAATAATGGCCAAATGAATACAACATCCTGATTAGTGATTTTATATCATTTCTCCTTTCACCTGGTGTATACATAAAGACTTAACAGTCTGTCCCATTTGTAGATAAATCAACAGCCTTTACATTTTTTAAGAGAAGGTGTATCATTTCCTACAGTAACTTCTGGAAGAAAAGGATGCTCTCACTCCAATTTGAATCTGGAAATCCCCTGCTCCCTAAGTAGAAAATGAGTTTAGCACAGCAAATTACAGATACCCAGTTTCCTTGGCAGCTGCCACATGAGACTAAGAAATGCTGATGTTTCTATAAAGAAAGGTAAAATTGTAAGTTCTGTGATTTCTTTAGAATGGTTTAATTAAGGTCATTTTATTTGAATTTTTTTCAAGACCCCCGTATTGAAAACTCAAGAGAAAATGGTTGGCTGTTGGTTTTTCACTTCTGGTCCAGTCTCGCTAAGTGCCAAAATTGAAAGGAAGGGATACTGTAACGGTAAGCGACCGCGGGAACGGCATCCTGAAACATGGCTGGTCTGAAGTGGCTTGTAAAGGGCAGCTTTTATCATGTGTCAAGTACACTGGCAGTGAAAACAGTGTATAATAAAGTTTTGTGTTGAATCGTAAGCGATGTATTTTTAGCTAGGTGAGGAAGTATCAATGGAAGGCCTGGCATTTCTGACCTGGGTTCCATTCCATCAGTACCAAAGAGCAAACCTGGCACAGGGAGGGAATGCCAGCAGCTCATTTTAATCTTGGAGAAGAATGCCCAGAGGTAAGTTGTTCATGGGACAACTATTGCATTATGAAAGGACTTTGGGCATTCTGATTCCGTGCTGGCTTGAGGGGGATAGAGAAATGGGGCCTGAATGTAGAACCCTCACAACTTCCATGACACTGTCAGGAGAGGTATCAGTTATGAAGGCCTCTTTCCTACAGTGGATTTGCTCCCTGATCCTGGATTCTCACTGGAAGTGAATGTGATGTGAAATATTATATTGTAATGTTGTAAAACTTGCCCACTCTACCCATTGTTTTAGTTATACCTATGCCTTAACACTATTAATTCCTTAAAAGCAAACGTTTTGAGCCCCTGTTGGAAAGATTTTTAATCTGATAGGCACTAGGGAATTTATGAGTAATCTTTTTTTTTCTTTCTTTATTTGTACCAGTCATGGCTCTTGAACTCAGGGCCTGAACACTGACCTTGAGCCTTTCTGCACAAGGCTACTGCTCTACCACTTGAGCCACAGCTTCACTTCTGGCTTTTTGGGGTGATTAATTTGACATTAGAGTCTCTCACATGCTTTCTCGCTCAGGTTGGCTTTAAACTGCAACCCTCAGATCTCAGCCTCCTGAGTAGGTGGGATTACAGGTCTGAGCCCCTAGTACCCAGCTTGTTGGTGATCTGTTATACTTCACAGTACCGAACCATCTATTTGCACACTTTATCTTCATTTGTATGCCATTGGTCATCTGGAGTTGGTAGTATTTTTACACTAGAAAGTGAGCGGTGGCTATCTACCACATGCTGCCACGCGTTTTTCCTCATCTACCTCGAGTTTGCAATGTAAGTGTTCCATCAGGACTTCTCAATCTGCTAAGAAAGTTCTGGAATGTGCCGCTCTCCTTGGTCACGGGCCCTTTCCGTTTCCCAGAGCACTTCCCGTAAGCCGCTGTGAGCCCCTGTGGTCTGTTCTCTCCAGGAGAGGCGATCCCCATCTACGCGGAAATCGAGAACTGCTCCTCGCGTCTCATTGTCCCCAAGGCAGCTATTTTCCAAACCCAGACCTACTTGGCGAGTGGGAAAACGAAGACCGTGCGCCACATGGTCGCCAACGTGCGAGGAAACCACATTGCTTCCGGGAGCACGGACACGTGGAACGGGAAGACCCTGAAGATCCCGCCCGTCACGCCCTCCATCCTGGACTGCTGCATCATCCGCGTGGACTACTCCTTAGCTGTAAGCAGGGCCCGTGAGGCCTAGCAGGAGCATGCTCCGCGGGGATGCCCAGGGTCGCCCCAGGAGTCACTATGGTGATCCAGATGCTCCCGGGGTGCCTGTTACCTCAAACAGAGACTTTGGGGGCGGTGTTAGGAACTTTTCTTCTCATGCCAGTCCCGAAGCTTTGAACTCAGAACCTGGGCGCTGCCTCTGAGCCTTTTCAATCAAGGCTGGCACTCTACCACTTGAACCACGGCTCCTCTCCTGGCTTTTTGGTGGTTCGTTTTATCGTCTGCTCCTCAGATCTCAGCCTCCTGAGTAGCTAGGATCACAGGCGTGAGCCACCAGCTCCTGCTTCGTTTGCAGTTATTATTCTGGCAAAGCCCACGAAGGCCGCAGATGGCAGCGATAGGATTGTTCTGTTTGTTCCGTTCTGCATTTCTGTGTAGTTGGAACAGTTTATATTTGTTCCCGGGGTGGGGTGGTAGGCGAGCAAGGCGTTTTTGTGTGTGTAGGAAGAGACGTGAACTTCCCATGAGGTTTCACTTACCCTCCCCTTCTTTTTTACTTGTTGACATCTTAGGTATACATTCACATCCCTGGTGCTAAAAAACTGATGCTCGAGCTGCCGCTGGTGATCGGTACAGTCCCTTACAGCGGCTTCGGCAGCAGGAACTCCAGCGTGGCCAGCCAGTTCAGTATGGACATGAGCTGGCTGACCCTCACCCTGCCCGAGCAGCCCGAAGGTAAAGCGTCTTTGCAGGTCGCGTCGCTCCCACCCACCCCACCCCACCGCTCACTGGGGACAGGCGAGGCACATAATACGCTCCCCATCCTTTCAACGGCCCCAACTCTCCTGCCTCTCCACCCACTGAGCAGTCATAAAGCGTCCCCAGAAGGGACCCTGAAGGTTTGATTGATCCACAGCTCACATCTGCTAGCACACCCACCAGGAAAGTGTACGTGTCCCCATACCACTGAGTCACAGTAACACCACGAAGAACAGACAAAACACAAGCAGAGAATGCTAAGAATTTTTCCAGAGCCACCGCTCCATGACATTTGGTTTGTCGAGATTATAGAACAGGCATCTCGGATAGAATGTCAGCCACGTACCCATGGCTCACACCCGTAAGCCTAGCTACTCAGGAAGCTGAAATCTGAGGATCGAAGTTCAAAGCCAAGCCCAGACATTTCCAGTTAACCAGCAAAAAGCCAAAAGTAGAGCTATGGCTCAAATGGTGGAGAGCTACACTTAAGCAAAAAAGCTAAGGGATAGCACCCAGACCCTGGAGTTCAAGCCCTATTGCTAACATCCCCCCCCCCCCGCCTCCGCCACCGAATAGAATAGAATAGAATAGAATGCAACACAGTATATTAAATGTCAGTAGTAATAGAATGAAAGCAGAATCAAGTTTTGTGTTGTAACGGGCAGGGACAAGTTCCTTTTATGTGTCCATTCAGCTAGATTTCTTGTTCCTGTAAGTGTTCAGAAAGCAGCATGTTCCTTCACGCCTAGATTCTCGGCTCTGACTCCAATTCCGTTGCAGCCCCGCCCAATTACGCAGACGTGGTATCAGAGGAGGAATTCTCCAGACACGTTCCCCCGTACCCGCAGCCTCCCGACTGCCAGGGGGACGCCTGCTACCCGAGGTTTGCCTGCATTCAAGAATTCCGCTTCCAGCCTCCACCTCTTTATTCGGAGGTAAGTAGAGCAAGCTCGAGTGCGCTGCCCTCTGCGTGGCTGGCCTGCGACTGGAGGAAGATGTATACAGACTGGGTTGTTACTCTGATGGATTCACCTGGTTTCCGGCATTGTCCTTTTGGGATCCTTGGCACACATGACCAGGAAATGCCAGCGTCTCTCTGGGCAGACTCGGAGCAGCTTAGCTTGGAGATACCATAGAAGAAAGGGAGAATGGAATCATTGGATTTTCCTTTTTTCCCAGACATGGGGATATAGTCTAAATTCTCCATCCTCCTGCTTTAGGCTGTTGAGTGCCGGGATTATGCACTACAGTGTCATTACAGGTCATTATAGGAGTCACTACAGGGATGCACTACAGTGCTCATTACAAGCCTTTCTTTTCCTTTTCCTCCTTGTAGGTTGACCCACACCCAAGCGAGGCAGAGGAGAGTCAGCCTGTTTCCTTCATTCTCTAGACCTCCTCCAGACCTCCCCTTGGCCCTCGCCAAGACTGTCCCCCGCCTCTCTCTTTGCTGTGCGGGAGGCCAAGGAGGGAAGGTCAACTTAAGAATATAAAAGATCACCAAGGAGGAAGGCAATAGAAGTTAAAGACTACAAGAACTTTCTAGTGGGCCCACAAAAGGGGTCTGCACACGTGTAGAGGATGGTGCTGTGGCTCCCATTCGGGGATGAAGAGTCAGAAGGTTCTGGAAGTGTTGGTGGTGATAGAGCAGGTGGAGAAGGGAATCCGTAAGGAGTGGACACGCCTTCACCGGGGTGTCTCACAGCGGACCGGACGTGCGGTGTGAGCCGCGTGACACGTGGCAGGCTGGGACGAGGCTCCGTTGGGGGTGAGTGTGAATTAACGCGTGAATGAGAAGGTGACCCACCATCAATACAAAGTGACACCCTCACGTTGCCAGCGCTTCCTGATTCCTTACCATGGTTCATGAACTCGAGCAAGGACCGAACTTTCCACAATGTTCTTTCTTGACACCATAACGGTTCTCACTCCCGGAGAGAGAGGTTGACAGTGCCCTTTACAAATTGGCTCAACAGTATTAAGAAACCCAGACAGGGTTCCTTGGGAGGCCCGCCACTTCAAATCCCAAAGATGGATTTCAGCCAGGCGACGGTGGTTCAAGCAGCTCTCGGGAGGCTGAGACCTGAGAGTCAGTCAGGGTTTTCGAAGCCTGCCCGGGTAGGAAAGTCTGTGAGACTCTTATCTCTAGTTATCCACCAAAATGCTCAAGTGGCAGAGCACCAGGCTTGAGGGAAAAGAGCTAAGGGACTACACCCAAGGCCCTAAGTTCAGTCCTTGCTACGGGAACAAAAGAGTAACAAGAAAGTGTGTTCCAAGGAAGGCTGCCAGTTTGTTTCTTTTTTTTTTTTTTAAATCACCTTTAGAAATTTCCACCCGGTTATATGCTTGATTTTCCTCATCTTTTATTTACCTAAGGGAACTTGTTTTTTGGGGGGGACAAAAGGTTATAGCCTCAGGATGCCTTGATAACTGCACACATACACACAAAGAAAAAAGAAAAAACTCTTCTTCACCTACCTCTAGTGGGGTTATCAGATGTGTTCTTAAATCTGGGCTTGATGAGCCTTTTTTTGGAGTTTCTGTGATTTACAGTAGCAGATTCCTCTCACCTGAAACTACACCCAGGTGAAAAACCCAAATCTCGCATCCAGTGGAAGGAAAATAACGTGTGAATTGCTAGGGGTATTTGAGGACGATTGCAAAAACTCAGAAGAGGGTAGGAATGGCATTTTTGAAACTTAATTCCTGCCGTGAGGGTAATTAAGGAGACCAATGGCACTTGGTGACTTGCACTTTGCTACTCCAGGCCTCTAGCAAGTCCTATTTAAGCTGTGATTTATTTATTATTGTTGTTTTGGTGCAATATTTTGTTGTCATCAAACCTCAGGATCTTCAACTGGATTGTGTCGCTACTGGAAGGTTCCACAGTGCTTTAACTGTCCACCCACCCACTCCCTGCTCACGACCACGGGCTCGCTTGCTTTTCCCTGGTCTCTTGGGTCCGGACATTCAAGTGCAGGGAGGTCAGCGATCCCCACGGTAGAGATTTTGGGATCAGCCAGATCCTAAGGGTTTCTTCTAGAACCCTGGTGCTGCCCATTCAGAATATTGTAACTCACTCCACAGAGTGACTCACTTCCAATTAGTATGCTCCCTTAGGAAGAACTTCTCCCACAGTTAAATTTTGTATTTCAAACTCAGTTGGCCAACAATCAGGGAAATTTTTTTTTTACACTCATTAGATAAAATGTGTATGTTTCCTTCTCTGAATGTACTTCTCAGCTCTGAAGTTGCCATGTAAAAGATCACAATGCCAAACTTGTCAATACTGACGATGGTACTGGAATTGTCCCACAACTTCATTCCTTGATTTTTTTTTCTATTTTGTTACTCTGTGTATGTGTGTGTGTCTGTGTGTCTGTGTGTGTCTTTAAGCAGGTATGTGTATTTAAGTGCTTTCTAAACAGTTTTATTTTTACTGTAGGGAAGACCTTCAGCAGTTTATTGACTTGTCGGGCTGTAGTTTATGCACGGTGTCAAAAGTGTCTTTTTCTAGGAAACCCAAAACAAAGGGAAAAGCACAACTGGTGTGTGAACAGAGAACATTTATATATCTGGCTCCCTGTAGAAAAGCCACAGTTGGGTAGAGTCCTTTTTTCAGCTTGCTTTGATCCCTTGGGGAGACAAGTCACAAAATCCTCCACTTGAAGCAAAGCTAACTTTGCAGCCTTTCCAGGGAACAGCTCACGGGCATGGCCATAGTGACCGCATGGGAAGCATCTTAAATGGAATACTTTAATCAAGTTATTTGGTGAATGCAGAAAACTACATTTTGGGAACAGAGCAAACGTATGAATGAAGATAAAAATTTAGGCTTTTTTTTTGCTTGCTTAATCCCCTCTTGGTTTAGTTTGGATTAAAAAAAAAATTTAAGTGACCTTGGAATTTTCTTTTCAATGCAAAAAGTTTGCCACTGAAAGTGTGCAGTTTTGTTTTGTTTTGTTTTGTTGGGCACAAAAGCTATTTCCTTCCCTGGGTAAAATTTTATTTTGCACAATAAGTGACTTAGTAGACAGGGTTAGGTTTTTGATAAGTTAGAACCATGAAAACTTTTTTTTATTAAAAAATGTAACAATTTAGCCCCCAGGGAAAAAAAATAAAGATTGTATTTTGTATTCTTGTTTGAACCCCATGGGTTCCTTTTGTTAATAAAATGATTATGCCAATGCTGTGAGTTGCTTTTGTGAGTTTTGTTATTGTGTTTGCTTGAAAGATGGCTTCATAGCACTGAGGACTAAGAAGCAGTGAAGTGCTTTGCTTTGCTTGTATGTGTGTCTATGTCTTGAGAAAATTCACACACAGCACCAGAACTCAAAGCTTAGGGTTTTTACAGTGGACTAAGTTTCCCAGGGTAATTTAGTTTTTAGCATTCCATGAAGAAAAATCAGTATCATGGAACAACTTGACAATAAGGACGCTAGACTCTGTTGATTATTGAGATAGAACGAGAGAGTGCTGTCTCCATTTATGTCCAAATAATAGCCACACCAACTTGCTGAGTTTCAGTGCTCACTTGGGCAGCAATTCAGCAAACATGAGCAATCAGAGACAAGTCTGACCCTAGAACCTCAGCTAAACACTCAAATTCTAGGTTAGCTTCTCCCGTTGTGAATGTAGGAGATGGGGTTACTTAATAAAAGTTGGCATCCTCACAACACTGAACTATCCATCTGAGTATTTACTCAGGTCAAATTTATAAGTTTGCATTACAGTTTCTAGAGTTTATTCTGGAAATTTGTGGGTTTAGAATGAACTTGTAAGACTACCAAGCAACTAGGGCAAAGCCCCTGATCACCAGAGAGGATAGGAGATCCCAGACGGGCCAGACCCAAGCTCTGGGCCTGAATTCAAGGCTTGGGCTTGAATCTCCTTCAGTTGAAAACATTCATTGCTCTCAATCGCTTCACGCATGCGCTGCGTCGGCCTCAGCTTCTGTCTCCAACCCTCCTCTCCCCAGAGGTCGCCAGACTTGAGTAAATTGCTTCCTAAATACATTTAATTAGTAGCTGAATACTTTCTCCAACACACATCTAAGACCTTGATAGGCCGAAATAATTACAAGGTCCCAAGGAGTTTTGAAAGTAGCACACCTACTTCTTCTTCTCCACCCACCAGTCTCCGCAGTGTTGAGACTGTGTGTGAGCTGTAGGGTAGTAGAAACTCCAGGACGGTATGGGACAGCCCATGACTGAATGCACGCATTTGTGCTGTCTCTGAGTGTGTGGAATATATGAAATGCCAGCACATGTGCGGCTTCATTGTAATTGACATGGAATACCATCACAAATGGCTGCCCTCGCAGCCATGGCTTCCTTCCCTTCGTGCCCCACGTTTTCTATCTCTATGTAGTGTCATTTAGGAATGGGAAAGCCAGGCTGAGATCCAAGGATCATGGTTCAAAGCCCGCCCAGGTGGGAAAGTCTGTGAGACTCTTATCTCCAATCAACCACCAAAAAGGCAGAAATGGAAAGTGGTAGAGCTCATGTATTGAGCTAAAAATCTCAAAGACAGCTACCAGAATTGGCGCACATGCACACACACACACACACACATGCTAAAGCCAGGTTCTGATGTCTCACACTTGCAATCCTATCTGCTCTGGAGGCTGACATCTGAGGATCAATCTTTGAAGCCAGCCTGGGCAGAAAAGCCCAATTAACCAGCAAACAGCCAGAAGGTATAATCTACCATGAGTGGAAAAAAAGAAAAAAAAAAAAAACAAGAGTACTAAGTTCTGAGTTCAAACCCTAGTACCTGTCCACACAGACATATACACACAAACATACACATGCATGCACGCACACACAAAGAATGCTAGGTAAATCCTTTAGTCTACCTTCTGTGATTAGCATTTCCCTGCCTTGCTCCGTCTTGTGTCTGCCACAAGTCTTTGCTTGTACCAATAGTTTACTCTTTTGTATTTTGGCAGAGATATTTTAAGAGAAACAAGTATTGACTACTTCTGAAGACTTCATTTTTTTTCACTTTGCAAAGGAAATATGCAGTAATTCTATGCACATGATACTTGAATGAACAGTTTTGCTTTAGACTTTTAGAACTACTTTTTATGTAGAAAATACATAAACATGGTTTTATGCCATCTTTCAAGTGCCTTTTTCTAACTCATCGGAGTACCTGAAGTATTTAAACAGCAAACTATAAATGAAATCTGTGATGAAATTGTGGACCAAAATAAACTATCAGGCTATTTATTGGATCAACTTTTTTGGGGGGTGTCCAGTTGTGGGGCCTGAACTCTGGGCCTGGGCACTGTCCCTCAGCTCTTCAGCTCAAGGCTAGCACTCTATATTGGATCAACTTTTAAATCAGATACATTTCAACATAAGTGTGCAGAAAACGTGTGTGTGTGTGTATGAAATTTTGTGGGGTAATCTTTTTTGCTACCTTTTTCATTCCCTTGATTCACACCCCAATTTCTTAGTTTGTGATGAGAGAACCACCCAATGGTCCTACCGGTTACAATTATTTTCTAGAAAAGAGAGCTCCTATCTTATAGCAGCCATTACAGATTAACCGCAAGGATTTAGCTGTAAAACCAAACTTGAAGAAGGAAGCTGGAAATGAAGTATACTTGGGGTTGGGTGTTCCACTTCAAAATACCACCAGAACTGCTTACATGGCCAACTGTTTGGTTCAAGGATCTATTTCTAGGTTCACTGGTGGAGATGCCATCCCTGCCCAAATTTTCAGGGACCCAAGATAACTCACACAGACTGGAAGATGCCTGGACTCCAGCATCTCCCACTGGGAACAAGAAAAACATAGGTGCCACTTTCATGTTTGCAGATTCCCATGCGCTCACACATGCATACTTACTGGTGCATCAGCACACACATGTGAGTGAGCATGCGCACACACACACACATACACACAGAGATGACATTTTCTTCATTACATCTACATCTTGTACATCCAGACCTGAGTCTAGTTCAGCTAAGACTGTAAAGTGATCTCACGAAAGGAAGAAATGGGTTCCAATGCCCATAAGAACTTGTTGGAAGACGCTATGTCAAAAAACCAACTTTACAATTTAGGCACGGGGCAGGGATGGGGGGAGTAGTTGAGGAGGTGGGGAGGGATGGGATGGTAGGGGAAAAACAAAGCAGGAGGCAACAATGCTGGATAGGAAATGCACTCATTACCTTGCTCATATAACTGTAACCCCTCTGTACAATAAAATAAAATGTATTTTTAAAAACGTATTAAAAAAAACTTGCTGGAAGAGAAGCTATTTTCCACCATCTTTTTTACAAGTCTGCCCCCAAGATAGTAGAAAACCGGTAGAGCAGGATCGAGAATGATTATATGAAAAATGGGGACAGCAACAGATGCCAAGAATTTAGCTTTAAAAAAAAATAATTACTGCATGGAGTAAAAGTAAAGATCTTTAGTGGTTACAAAAAAGAAGACGAAG